AAACTCGAGAATGACTAAAAAGGACCGGAAAATCCTAACAAAAGACCTAAAACGGGAGAAAACAACACACAAAATAGCAACGAAAATAGCAACAAAAACGGGACAAACAGAAAGACTTTCATATTATGTTATGTGGATTCTTTATATTATTTGATCTGCATAAAAATGAAAAAATGTCGCAAAGGAGCTAGCGTAATCTTATATCCTGAAATATTTAAATGTAATATTGTCGCATTATAAAAAATTTATATAAAAAATAAAAGATGTTGTATGACATAATGTAATTGCAAATAAAGGCAAACACTTTAAAATAGAACATTATCACATTTTTAATATTGAAATGTTCCTTATTAGGCTTAATATATTTAATACTCTAATAAAATCATATATATATATATATATATATAAATATTAAACCATAAACACATTCTATTCAATTTTTAAATTTATCCTATATATATGTGATTTTTTTTAATTATTATGAAATAGGATAAATTAAAAATTGAATAGAATGCGTTTATGGTTTAATATTTATTTTAATTATTTTATATATTTTTTAATATAATTACATCAATAGATAATATTGATGTACACTGAATATATATCATTATATATTTATATATATAAAATACTACTTTATAAGTATTAGAAATTATAATAATAATCATAATAATAAAAAATATAATATAACAATAAATTGACCATTGATGAAATTTGACACGACGTGCTATGATAACTCACGCCATGTCTATAGTTAGGCTTAAGCTTTCTTTAAAGCGGAGTTGATTGGAGTAAAGGACTTCACGAGCATGTGTACTAGCATGCGTAAAAGACTTTATTTGGTCAAAATATTCACAATCGAAGTGACATGATATGACCAATCACTGCAGATCTGAAGATTAGAAATCACTTACTTGCCGACCATGATTTCTAGCTTTTGCCATGTGTAGCATTACTGATAACGAAACATGATACCTCCCTATTTAAACCACACACTTCACAACAAATAAATTCACACACGCAAAAGGAAGTAAACCCCAAGTATTTGCTATTTGTACTAAAGTTCAATAGCTCCTGATTTTGGTGTAATGCAGGCCGACTACATGTACGACCTAGATTGGACACCAAAATTTGATGAGTTTGTGATAGATTAAGAATCCCCCTATATATTAATCCAGAACGCGCTGAGCCTACGTGGCTGCTTCTGGTGCTTCGGAATCCTATGTGGCAAAATTACATGCTTCGTTATTAGGCTTGAGTAAATTTTAATTTAATTCCAAACAAAAAATAATTAGGTTCGGATTACCATAAATATGTTGATTGTTTATGGTCATGTTAAATGTATTAATATTTTAATATCATTCCTTATTATAACTATTGAATTGTATATATATTTTAAAAGTTAATAACTTTTGTATTTTTTATCAGTTTTACATATGTAATATATCAAATTAATCTTCCTTTGATGAGCTTCAATTTAACATCCATATTGTATGTTTAAAAAATAATTTATATTTATCTTTATAACAATAATAAAATTATTTTTAATATTACACTACAAAAAAATTGTTATATTCCAACGGAAAATCCTATGGTAATATATTCCAATGGATATTCTAACGGATATTCCAATGGTATAGCTTCCGTTGGAATGGTTCCAACGGAAATTCCAGCGGAAATAATCTTTTGGAATGTGTTTTTCATTGGAATTTTAAATGGAATTTGATGATTCCAACGGCTATATTTCCAACGACTTTTTACCGTTGGAATATGCAAATTCCGTTGGAACTTTTATTTCCACTCCCGTAGGAAAATCCACCGTTGGAATCGTCAAAATCCAACGGAAATTTCAATGAAAAATCCATTCCCACGGAATATTTTTCTTCGAATTTGCGTTGGAGTCCATTGAAAAATTCCAACGGAAATAATAGTATTGAAATATTCGTTGGAATTGCCATTGGAATATTTCTTATGGAATAGATTTCCGTTGAACTTTCATCATTTTTTTGTAGTGTTAATTAGAAAAATAAAATTATTTATCAACTAATATATTTATATTTCAAGTAGTTATATGATATAAGTTATAAAACTAATATAATATAACACATGTAAGTCATAAATAACACATATCATTCTAAAATATATAATGTTGACATCAGATTCCTGTGGACGCCGGATGAACGACACGTGGACAGGAAGGGAAAAAGGGGGCTGACCCGAGTAGAGCTAGGATAATGTTCCCGAGCTGTATAAACCGACCTCGGGGGCCTTACTATGTCAAGATACCGACCTCACTGCATAGACCGACCTCACTGCATAGGTGACCTCAAAAATGGGCCGACGTCGGGACCGACAGACATCATTAACTGCGCGTCCATCAAGATAGCTGAGGACCACGTGAGGACATCATTGCAAAGGGGGCCCACTTGCTGAAAAAGTGCTGGGTCCTGTCACACTGCATTAAATGCCGCCGCATCCCCCTCAAAAGACGAGCCCAGAGTTACTATAAATAGCAGTATTAAACACCATACGAGGATCTTTTTCCGACACATTTAATTCCGCATTTATCACCTCGGTATTGTAATATTCTCCAACACAAGTGTACTATTGAAAACCGACCTCAAGTCCTGAAAACCGACTTGAGCCAATCCCGAATTATTCCACGCTTAACCAATAAACTCGTATTATTTCCACACAAGTCAAAGAAATTAACAATAAAAAAGGTTGATCAAATCCGTTTATCAACATATAATAATATATTTTTTTGGTATTAAATTAAACTAAATTTAATATAATTTTCTCATTAATTTTAAAATTTAAATATAATTTTTTAACAAGCACCCGTGTAATACACGAGTGTTGTACTAGTATATATTAATCCAAAGGAGGCCAAGATATTTTTCCAAAATGGCTTACAGATATTTATACCACCACTGAACCACAATTTGAAACCCTAAACTCATTTACCGCTTAAACCCCGGCGGCCAAGGGCACTTCGCAAATCGCCACCACTCAGCTCCCAACTAGCAAAACCCGAACCACCACAGCGCCACTAAGTCCACTCAGCTGACTCTCCGCCCTAATCCGCCCCGCGTATGCAGCTCCCCGAGTAATCGAAGCGCGGTGTCCATTCGACCAGATAACCGCAGATAGAACATTCAGCGCACGTAATTCAGAATGGGAGGGTCTAGGGTTCAGTTCAATAAGGCGCATAAAACGCGATTTGCTTCCAAGTCTTCTCGAAATGCTCACAAAGTTTCTTCCCAAGGTTTTGTGTCTTCTAATTTGTTAGGTTGATTTGTGTCTTCTAATTTGTTATGTTGAAACTTGTATTTTGTAGTTTCTGTTTTTTCCTGCCTTAAACCCAAACATATATCTGATTTGATTTGCATAAATTTTTATGATTTTTGGGTGGTTATCGTTTCATCAGATAAATTCAAGATGTCAAAATCTGATCGCAGTGTTGCCAAAGGGGCCAAGGCAGCTCGTCTGCAGCGAAATAAAATGGTACTATCGTTCGATTAATGTGCGTTATTTCCGTTATTTAATTTAGTTTTCCATAGTAGTCGCATGAATTATGTAACTCTATGCATTGAAGTTCTTTCGGCTAGACTTTGATCAGAAGTTTGTGATTTGTAGATGAGGGAGCAGAAGAGAGCAGCAGTTTTGAAAGAGAAGAGGGCATTATCTGGACCATCAAGCCCTCCCCGTGTTATCGTAAGTCTTGTTAAAGACTAAACCAGCATAGTAATGTTTTTCTTATGTTACCTGAACAATGAACAATGCTGGTTTTTCTTTTGCTTACTGTATGTGAATGCTACAGGTACTATTTGGTCTGACAGCCCATGTGAACTTGAAATCTCTCAAAGAAGATATTGTATCATTATTATCTGAAGAACAAAATGGTGTCATTTTTCCTGCCATAGCATCATCAGAGTACAAGTTGCGAGCCACGGTACATTTATAACGGTGCCAATTTTTCTTGTACTTAATTGGAGTAAATTATTTCTCTTCCTTTTTCAGTATTTCAATTTCTCCGACATTATTATCACATTTTTATGTCTCAAATAATTTAGATACTTTTAATGTGTTCTTTCTTTTATATCTTTGGAACTATTTATCCTCACTTCCAGTAAATACAGGATGCTGATAAAATTATTTTGAATGGAAGCACCGTTTTTCAATTTGGAGAATAATTCTGGTCTTTATTTGAATTGGATAGGTCTTAGAAGCTCCTCATGGTGATTTGCTGACATGCATGGAAATGGCGAAGGTAGTTGCTGTTTATTATATAGTTTGTGGGTTTTCCCCTGTGTTGGATTGCATTTGTTTGCATTTAGTTCCTGATTTGACACATCTCCTGTCTCTTGTACAATGGGCGCATGCATTCTGTAGGTTGCTGATTTGCTTGCTTTTGTGGCATCTCCATGCTCGCATGAAACAGATGATACCAATGGATTTATTGATTCGTTTGGGTCACAATGTCTTTCTGTGTTTAGAACGCTTGGCTTACCAAGCACTGTGGTACTACTTCGTGTAAGTAACTATTCCATGGGTCTATCCTACACCTCCCTCCCAAAGCTATTAAGAATATACACAATTAAATCCTATAATATATATTCAGGATCTACCTGATGACTTGAAAGGAAAAAATGAACTGAAAAAAATTTGTGCATCCATGCTTGCTCCCGAGTTTCCGGAGGATTGTAAATTTTTTCCTGCTGATAAGAAAGATGAACTGCATAAGGTAAATTAATTTATTGCCGTTTGCTTGATCCCTTGTCTTAGAATATCATAAAAATATATGGAGAATATTGGCTTACTGAAAGTTAAGAGTTGTTTAACTTCTTTCTTTGTTGTAGTTCCTGTGGCTTTTCAAGGAGCAGAGGCTTACCGTACCTCATTGGCGAAACCAGCGATCTTATCTCATGGCTCAAAAGGTTACTATCTAAGGCCACATAATAACCTTTGTTATGATATATTTCATTTGCCTTCTCAACGTAGTGTGTTACTTCATGCTCTGCACTTGATAGTAAATTGGACAATATAGTGAAGTATGAAATGTTGTCAGTTTGAGTTTCATGGTTCCAGCTATATCTTCTCTAGCCACTGATGTGATTATAACACTACCTGTGGTTTTGTCCACTTCCTATGGAAAGTGGTCGGTACTCATAGCACCATTTTTATATGTTATGCATTCAAACGGAACAGGTTGATGTGGTAGCTGAAGCTGGTGATCCAGAAAAGTTTACACTTGCTCTTACTGGTTATCTACGTTCACATGCCCTTTCGGTGAATCAACTGGTGATGGTTCTGTCTATACCATTTGATACACAAAATCAGAATCTTTTCCAATGTCTGAATGTTTCTAGATCAGGTACATGTTGCTGGAGCTGGGGATTTCCAGCTGTCCAAAATTGAACTTCTCAAGGATCCATGCCCACTCAATAAAAGGAAAGGAGTAGATGTCATGGACTCTGAGGATGATGTACAAGTATTTTTTCTTTCGTGTCACTTTTCATCACAATATCCATTCCTTACAGCATATCATTGGTTCTCATAGACAGACAGAAAGGAGAACAGAAAATGCAAGAGACACTATCACATTTTAATATTGTGAAACTAATTTTGTTTGTTTCATCACTTGGAATTTTAAAATTGCTCTCAAGGCGAAATTTTACATGTATTGGCTCATTGTAAAATACTTATGGCCCTTTCATGAAATTCAAACCTTGGCTTTTTTTCCTCTATGCCAAAGGGAAAATGGCCCACGGGTAGTGTGGCAATCAGTTCCAATTTCCAAAACCGCCCCTCTTTTTACACTAGGGAATCATGCGACAATATCATAAGACACATGATTAGGTCCACAAAGGCTATAGTCCTATCATACTTCCCAGAAGGGCCCTTATAGTCTCTCTCTCCCAGCCCTCTTTCATGGGTGGAAAAATTGTATAGATGGGTTTTCTCTACTCATTGAACCGTAATTCTCATTGTTCAATTTCAAGTGGATGAGACTGACTTAATAGCTGTAAGACCTCACCAATCACAAGGCTGACAACAGCTTAAGCCCGATTTTGTTAGATATTGGGGTTCCCCCCAACATTTTTAAACAAAGCCATTTCTAGATTTGTTGCTATCTTTTTCATTCATCTGATCTTCTATTTGCTTTAAATAATGGCAGGTTCTGACTTGTCTTATGCCTGATCCGATGAAACAAGAGCCTGTAGTAGTTGAAAATATCCCTGATCTCTTGGCTGGAGAACAGGTTAGTATGTTTTCTGGATATTTCACCCTTCGCCTGTATTCAGATTCTTGTCTTTTGAAATATGTAATCCATACAGTGTTTGGTCACAATTTGGGCGATAGAGATAATAGATATTATTATCCAGGCACATAGTATGGCTTTTGGTCTATTTCCATTCTCATGCTTTACAGCATCATTATGTTTTCTCATAAACTTGTTTTAAAACTCTTGTGCTTCTTTCCTTAATCTCTTCAGACATGGCCAACAGAGGCAGAAATGGCTGAAGCTGACAAAAATCACCAGGAGAAAAAATTGAAAAAGAGGAGGCTCCCTAGAGGCATATCAGACTACCAGGTTGGGCGTTGTTTCATTCTTGGAGTCTGTTTTTATTCTCTTCTGTCATGGTGTACAATTGTAGACAACTTGGCCCAAATTAAGTAACTCTCGCCTATTATTTTGGGTTGGTTTACAGGCTGCATGGATTGTGGATGATTCGGATGTTGACTATTCTGATAGTGATGAAGGTTTAAATGATGGTATGGTGATGGATGATGGAGAGAACTTACCTGAGCAGAAGCATGACAATGATTTTGACTTTGATGATGACCAGGCTTCCCTTAATTTAAGAGATTCTGATGGAGAAACTGAAACAGAATCTGTGATGATGGAGGTATTTGCTGATATTAACTGCTGGTGTTCTTCAATAGCAAATTGTGGATAATACCCCGAGAAGATTTACTTTCATTTCTATATTTTTCCAATTTCTTTTACTGTTTTCACTCGTTATCCCTCTCCTGGGAAAGGTAATCTGGTATTGCAAAGACAAGAACTACACTTAATGTTTTTGATGCATATATTGTACCTTTTCTTCTGGTGAAGTGTAGCGGCAATCCTGCAAGCTTTCGGAGAGAAATTTTTCACAGTGAGTTCTCAATTAAGTCATTTATTTGTCTGAAGTATGAATGAGTTTTCGTTGTACCGCAGGACGGTGACAGCTTAACCAAGGAACAATTAGCAGAACAGATTCGTAAAATTAAAGAAGAACACGCTGAAGACGAGGGTACCATTTTTATTAGATTATCCTATGTTTTACGTTTTCTTCTTAATTGTCAGCTTCTAACATTGGTCAGTAGATTCAATGGGGAAAGCATTTTGTTGGTTTTCTGATTGCATCTTTTACATCTCCAGAATTTCCAGATGAAGTGGATACACCATTAGACGTTGCTGCACGGAAAAGATTTGCCAAGTATAGAGGTGTCAAGTCCTTTAGAACTTCAACCTGGGATCCCAAAGTATGTCTTCCATATAAGGTTGATTAGACATTTTCAGCTGTTACCGTTGGCCAATTTTTGTTATTATGACTGCAGGAATCTCTGCCTCCTGAATATGCTAGGATTTTCGCATTTGATAATTTTTCAAGAACACAAAAGCACGTTCTTGCTAAAGCTTTTACTATGGAGCAAGAGACTGACAGCTGTATACCAGCTGGATCTTACGCAAGGCTTCATATTAAGGATGTCCCATCTAACATAGCTTCCAAGTTGTGCATGTTATCTAAGACAATGCCTGTAATAGCCTCTGGCCTATTGCAACATGAGTCTAAAATCTCTGTTCTCCATTTCAGGTGCACCTCTTAATCCTATTCATTGGTTATCTTATCTAATGACTGGTTGCTGCTTCCTCACCATATTAAACTTTATGGATCCTTAGCATTAGGAAGCACGATACATATGATGATCCTATTAAAGCGAAGGAAGAACTCCTATTCCATGTTGGTTTCCGGCAGTTTGTATCAAGGTAATTTTGCTGTCTTGTATTGATGGAGAAATTGAAAACTAAATAAATGCATACTCTCATGAGGCAGGCTATTGAATCTTGATCCATCATATGGACTCCTGAACTAGGTCTTGAAATTTAAATTTAAAATAAAACCGAATTAAACTTCAGGAAAACTAAAAGAACTAAAAATTATGGGAAAAGAAGCTCTATATACTTAAAAACTATAATTTTCTATTTGTTCTTACCCCAGACACGAGTTTTTTCTACAAATAAATGGTTTACTAGTCTCATGTGCCTTCTGCCTTCGACAACGCAGGCCAATTTTTTCTTCTGATAGCATCAATGCCAACAAGCACAAAATGGAGAGGTTTCTTCATGCTGGGAGGTTTTCAGTAGCTTCAATATTTGCGCCGATTTCTTTTCATTCTCCTCCTTTAGTAGCTTTGAAGAAATTAGCTGAAGACTCACCTCCTGTAGTTGCTGCCGTTGGTTCGTTGAGAACTGTAGACCCTGATAGGATTATTCTCAAGAAAATCATTTTAACTGGGTAAGCCTGATGATCATTAAGATGAATTATATAATGGTTCATGTTGTGGTGCCTTAAGTATTATAGTTATCAATGCTGGAAAATCAACGTCGAGGTGAAGAATTTATTTTCTACAGTCTCTACTGCATTCCAGCTAGGACTTCTATAATTTCTTGCTGGTCACGAAATTCGGTGGTTGCACCATTTTTACCGTTCGGAAGTTTTTTTTTTTGATTAATAAATAGATTGGGTTACAGCATTGCAATTTTTTCATGTTTAAATTAAATTTACTTTGAATTGCTGTGCATCTGGTAAAACCTTTGAGTAGCTGTGTGTACCTGAAGAAATCAACCGCATGTCCTGAAATTTCAATTTCCAAGAATATATTGACGAATAGCTAAATTTGATATAATATGAACTGAACTGACAATGGAGTACACACCTTATGCAGTTACCCCCAGCGTGTGTCTAAATCAAAAGCGACTGTGAGGTACATGTTTCATAGTCCGGAGGATGTCAGATGGTTCAAGGTAAGATGATATGTACCTTGTGTTATTTTTTCCTAGTGGCATTATTTCTGAGACTCTGGTGATTGCAGCCTGTAGAAGTTTGGACAAAATGTGGTCGCCGTGGTCGCATTAAGGAACCTGTAGGCACACATGGTATGTTCCATCATCTGATTAGATTTTGAAATTGGGTGTATTAAAGCATTTGGGTCTACCTCAGCCACCAACATAATTAGCCTCAGAATACTTCAAGGATAAGGTGTATAGTTTAGTGTTGATATACAAAACTAGAAACTCATCTCTTTCTTGAAATTACAAATATAATCTTGAAGGTGTGTTTCTATTTTACAGTTTTCTACTTGAACACGTGAAGGGATTATATTTGTAATTTTGGATATGATAGGGCTTGTTGTAATAATGCTAAAACTCAAGGGTAGTAACTGGGGTTGTTAACGAACCGAACGTTCACGAACAGAAGCTCGTTCGTGTTCGACAAGAGATGTTCGTTTGTTAATCGATCGGAGTTCGAACAAAATATTTGGCTCATTTATTAATCAAACGAAAACGAGCTCATTCGCAAACGTTCTGCAATGTTCGCCAACATTAATTTATTACTGTTTTATTTATTTTTTGTATATTTACATGTTATTTCTAATAAAAAATCTAAAATATAAAATATCCTATTATATTTTTTGTTTTTGAGTTCGATGGATTTCAATCGAACAGATTTCGAGTTAATCAAATATATTTAAGAAGTTTGTGTCATAAATTATTCAAACACGAATAAACTCGAACTTTGAGGAACAATTAAACGACTGAGCTCGAACACGATTTTTTGCTCGAAAAATGAACGAACGAACATGAATAGTTTTCAAACGTAAACAAACACGAGCTCGAAATTCTCAAGCTCGGGCTCGTTGATTCAGTTAACGCACTAGTAGTAGCATCTGCTGTTATTAACTACCCCTTATATATTCCAAATCGTATAATCACTTCGATTTTGAACTTGGCCTATGTTGGGAGTCGAGGGTCTGAAAACTAATCATGCCCTACGAGTTAACGAACTGAAGTTCTTGATTATTAATAAAAACAATCACGAGACAGTGAATTTTTATGTTTCTAAAATTCGTTTGTGTTGTATCCGCGTTCTGATCGGATTTTATCCTGCAGGGGCCATGAAGTGCATATTTAACAATGTCCTGCAGCAACATGACACTGTATGCATGAGTTTGTTCAAACGCTCATATCCAAAGTGGCCTCAACAATGGTTCCCACTACAGAGTGTTTAAATATATTGGCAAATGTAAGAGTTTGCTTTCGGGAATGAAGCTGTGGGTCTGATTTTAATTATTGGCTTTGTGCTGCGTTGGCTATGCAAAACAAACTAGTGGGAAAAAGTCGAGTGTTTTTTCCTTTTGCAGGCGGAGCAGAAATTTTGGTTGTGCATTTTGATCTCTTACTAGAGGATGCATAGGCATGTGGACATAATAGATGATAAGTTATGCTTTTCTATGTGGAAGCCATGTATGTGGACATGCAAATGAGTGTTTGAGAACTTGGTGATATGGATGTTAAATTTTGCTTGACAATTGACATACAGCATTTGTACTTTTAGTTTTTGGAGTTTATTGGTTTTTGTGTTGCTTTAACTTATCCATAAAAAAAATGCTATGAGTAGGGATGCACGTAACACTCACATGGAGTGTGGTCTATTTGATTTTTTTTTTCTAGGTCTTAAGAGCATCTGCAATGCTTTAGGTTTAGTTTTATACATGTGGAATGTAAATGAACCCAAGTCTTGGATGACGTGGACAAAAGTATACGAAATTAACAAAATCTACTAAAATGCAAGGAGACTAGGTCTCTACTTGAGTCTAAATTGGACTTAAGGTTAGACCGTGTTTTTTTTTTTTTCTTGCTGCCACATCAGCAAGACTTAGTCCACTTACACTTGCATTGGAGAACATATTTTTTTAAACTGAGTCTATTTCTGAGGTGACATTCATTTTTTTTTATTGAACTTAAAGTATTGTGGATGCTCTAATATGAGTGTTATATACACCTCTATATAAAATATTATGTATCTATAGCATTTCTAGTGAATTATATCCCGCATGATTACTTGGAGCATACTATGTAATTAAGGGGTCGGCTGTAAAAAATTAGCCTGTTCGATTGACTTGAGCCCTTTCTGGGAGTCCTCGGTTACCAACAGACTAGTAATTGGAAGATAACCATCACATTTTCCAATTTTTGTTTAGTTATTCAGAAAAATAGAAGAAATTTAGGTGGTTAATAACAAATTAAAAAAAAAAATACCTGATGTTTTAAATCAATTCGTATTTTGCAAGTAATTATAGAAAAAAAAATCGAATATGATTGCAAGTCCAGACGAGCACCAAGGCTTGCTTGTCTATGAAATAATTTACTCACTTTTATTTCAACTCAAAATTTAACTCAACTCAACTATCTTTAATATTATTCATATAATTAAATAATACAAACCAATTATTCTTACACATCACATCAACTTCAATTCACTATTTATCCACTCACATATTTTTAACTACCTATCATTTCCAACCATTTCCAATCATTTATCTCTTATTTTTGCATCAAATCAATTTTAATCATTTTATTTCAAATATTATTTTAATACATTCTTAAAATTCCACTAACAACTAACCATACTACCTTTTTCAAAATTAACTATAGTTAACCAAAATAACTCGTTTTGAACAAAATTATTTCATAAACAATCAAGCCCTAAGGGCTCCCCAGTTGTTTGGGCGCGAGGGCTCATCGTAGGTGTGACGAACACGTGATCCGGACGCACTTGCTCGTGCCGAAAAGGTTCTAACTATGTTTCGAATAACTGCGCACATCCCAAACGGTGTTTTTTGATGCCTATGAGTTCCTTGGAGATGACCAAAAACATCTACAAGAACCCATATGACTTGAAATTCATAACTCTACAAAACTTAACATAAAGATGAGACACTGATATAGAACATAAGATAGTTCATGTTAATCTTTTATTTATTACTCATTCTTCATATCTTGAGAGGCTAAACACATGTAGTTTCTCTCTTTCAAAGAATAAATTTGAACAAAGAAATCAAACAAATAAATGAAGTCGAGGCACATGAAATACGCTCCCCATAAACCAAGATACGACGGCTTTTACCTTCGTGTTGTTCTTTGCCATTTCCAGAAAGACGATAACATACACACATATCCAACACATGTGCCCGGTCACTCCACTATAAAGTGATGCGGCTACAAATAATTAATCAAACTCGAGCAATTTAGAACCAATTTGGCTGGTCCCTCTAACCTAAAGAATCATGCTACATTGTCACAATGAGATAGGGAAAATACACACGTCAAGCAACTACTGCTCTTATTAAAATACTATCAAAATGAACAATTAAGATCTTTCCAACACAAGATTTAGTAAGCAAGATGGTAAACCAATCTAGCAAAGTAGATTAACACAATTTTTTCATTCGAATGTCGAGTAAAAAATAACTGTAACTGCACTAAAGGACCATGCTACACAAACATAATGGTTGACATAAACTTGGACATAATACAAACGTGGCGCGATCTTGTGATTTGTACATCAGATCACCAATAAATCAACAAATAAATCAACAGTTCAAAATACATACACATCATTATGAATATGTCAAATACATTATGTCCAATAGCATTATTCTGCAATATATGCGGGGCAAGATCCAAAATCTGACAGGTATGGACTAAAAACAAAGATTGGATAATAAAGGGGTCTCATTTTCATTCAACATAAACTTTATGAGTAGAAATAGATACTGAATAAATATTTGAAAAATAAATTATGAGGGTGATATCAATTAGTTTTCCAACAATCATTTTCCAACTTGTAGTTTTTACACAAGTGCTTGTACATGAAATTGATGGATGAAATAAGTATATATAATCTCTAAGTGCAGTTGAATACTGACTCCGATAAATTAGATTAAAGACTATATCTCTTGCAAGTACATGCAAAACTTTTCATGTCACAAGAAGAGCGTTTCTTCCAGGTTCTTGAACACAACTCATTAACTTCGTAGACCACAATCCACGGGTATATCACTTGATTTATTTTCATTACCTTCCAACTGAAAACCTGGGAAATACATATGAACATGGGAAAAGAAAAGACACTGCTATCTTTTTGCAGCCATGCTCATAATGTTGCACTGGAGACCAGGACCATTTTCAAGAGTAACTAATCTGGATTAAAAAAAAAA